TCGGTTTCTCCAAAATCAGTTCTGACCGTTGCCTCTTGGTCACCGTACAGGTTCTTTAGCAGGCAGATAAGATGGCTTGGAATGCCCATGTCGTTTAGAGTTATCCAAAGTTTGTTGTGATCAACACAATCAAAAGCCTTGGTATTGTCATTTTTTTGAGCGGGCCTCAAGTTCAGGGCCGGCCTTTCCTGAGATTGCTGGGCTTACGAAGGTGATAACGTTACGCCGTCCTTGAATCATCACAGTCGACCTAGACAGCAGATCGAAGGCATGAAGTCAAAGGAACCTCGAGTGAACGTTCAAAGGCAAACATGGTAATCGAGACGAAGGGCTACCACGAGATGCACGGTAGAGGTGTTTGCGGGTCATGGTAGAGCATGCTTCCGTATTCAGTATGGCTGCTCCAATGACCCGCGGGACCTGCTCAGTTATCCTGCCAATGCGCACCACAGTCCCGCTTTCAATTCCATGAATCACTTCCCACGTGAATCTCCGGCATTCTAAGACGTATTCCCAATCGCCCTTTACTGTCTTTAGCATAAACTGGAGTAGTGGATCCATGCGATGATAGAGGAAGTCTTGGAACGACTCAATAAGGACTATTGGTCCCTCTAAGGACCTATTGCGTCTGCTGTGTCGGGGCTGTTGGCTGCGTGTAAGTATTTTGAAGAATGTTGGGTGAAAAATCAGGAAAATGCAATAGAAGTAAATGGTGACGAGACACCATGATACCAACAAGTAAGGCCCCATTCCATGTATTCTTAAAGGACCGTTAACTAAAGGAGGTTTCGACATTTGGGCCTAAGTCTTCCAATTGCAGCACGCATGCCTATGCTTTTCCTATGGGTGCGCCATCTGTAGTTATAGCGGGCCGCACTCGTGTATATATATAAATAAAATAAATAAATATATATATAAATAGATGTATTAAAAAAATTAAATAAATAAATATATATGCACATCCTCGCGACTACTTCGCCTCTGATCAATGACCTCGGTACCACTTAGAATTGTGAGGGATTTTCTTGAAGAATCCATAGAGACATTGCTGAAAAGTTATGCTGTAATTGATGGCTTTTGTTAAGTTTCACCCATTTTTTACTAGCATCAAATATGCAAAGTTTGCGAGTTTTGAAGTTTCACGGTTAAGCCGAAGATCGTAAGGATGGAATCGAGGGAGGAGGAGGATGAGAAAAACGTACGTATATCCGAGAAAGTGACGGAAGGACTGCAGTGATGGAGAATTTTCACCAAAGAATTTTCACGGAGTAGAAAGGAAAACAACAGACCGGTTCTCATTCCTTCTTCCCCATATCTTGTTTATCTTGAAAATATGTGAGGGGATTCCGAGTATCTGAAATACTTACCAATCTTTGCTGTCGCCGAGAAATTGTTTATCTGCTGATAAGATTTCCTCCGGTTTTTCCCTGTTTCACTTATTCGGTGTTAGCTGAATCGACATCTCTGATACTAAGGCGGACCTACCGTTTATTGTCTTGACACAAGGTGTCAAGTCAATAGCCGAAATCCTGCACAGCAGGATAATTGACCCATCGGATGATCCTCGGATGATCGGTCAAGCTGACTTGAAGGAGGAATTCGCCAAAATGATTACAGCACTAATATCCAACTTCGAAGCATGTGGAGACAAGAAGCTTATTTAAAAAGAAGTTCAGGGTGTTCATAAGGTAATGCAGGTGAAGATGAAAATTTCGTTTAAAATACAATTATAACGTTTTAAGAACAATCTATTCACAGGAGGTGCTGCACGTGTCCACCATTGGCTTCTTCGCAGCATTGTGCACGACGCACGATGTTCATGGACACCTTACTTGGGATCCCAATTCAGATGTTGCCAATTGCATTTCGAATGTTGTCTTTCAGGTCTTCTAAATTGTTTGGATTAGTAGAGTATACTTGGTCTTTGAAGGGACACCAATGAAGGAAACGTACCGGTGTCGAATACGGTGAATGTGGAGGGAGTCGACCTCTACTGATTAATCGGTCTCCAAAAATGATTTTAAATGATTCATTGAGACATTTTTGGTGGCTGCATTGGTATTATCCTGCTGAAAATGGAAGTGGATTGCATTTAATCATGCCAGCATTAGCATAATGCTGTATTAACTAAAATAGTTTTCAAGTGAGACATTACATTTAAAAAAATTTTGAGTTCCATTCGTTAATTGATATTAGCGCTGCCTAATGTGCATCAGCGACTACGATATTGTACGTCAGGGACCTGCAAGAATGTGTTTAGCATGGGCAAAGCTCCAAAAGGGATTTAATTCAGTAAAAGTATAAACAAACAGCAAAAATGACTGCAGATTAGTTCTAAGACGGATGACATGCTGTGACGAAGCAAAGAAGAATGCCGCGAATTACAACAATCACAAATCCAGCCACTCCTCCACCTTCTTCAGCTACCTGCCGACTGATTTTTTGCCGTAAGCCTTCCAACGTCTTGGTGAAGTACTTCATGCTATAGCTTCATTACCATTTTCTGGTCAATCGCTACAGTTGGACCTGCTGTTGAAGTTACCCTGGGCTTCTTGCTGGCAAGGCCTGCTCTGACTGGATGCTCGAGAGGAGTGCGAATGACCTCACCCTCTTTCACTAGCTCCTCCACTACGTCACCTAAATCGACACCGGAAGATGGTAGAAGAATGATAGAAGAAGCTGGTAGATGGATCGTCTTCTAGCTCTGCCAATTTCGGATCTGATGAAGCAAGATCGAAATGAAAGGGTATCTATAAAAAATGTTCAACAAGAAATGTACTGACAGAGTTAGTTCGTCCGCAGGGGAGCTGGTTTTGTTCCTGGGACCGTCATTTGTCTTGGTCCCGTATTGCAAAAGGTTGCGACTCACCGGAAGCCATACCAACTCCTGATGACGTGGTAGGGCCTGCCGTTTCCCAACCCTGTTCTTCGAGGTTAACTACCATGCCCTCGTGGATCCCTGCGAAGGTTGCCGTGTCCCCCGATGATATCCTAAATTCTCTGAGCGAGAGCAGAGAGAGGGGACGAAGGGTGACCACCTCCACTTCGGTGATGTTCGCTGGTTCGCTGTGAATTATCGTGAAAGAAATGTTGGAATTAGAAAGGTCTCTCCGTCAACCACTCAGCGCTCTTGAAACAACAATGTTGCTGGAATGTATGCGAAAGGAGGTAAATGAAACTTGGCGACTCGAATAGACTAACGTAATTTTTCCTCACCAGAGACATAGAACAATATTCAATTAAATGTTGCTTGTTCAATTAAAGAATTGGTCACAAATGGGCTGCGCATTTGTCCGACTTATACCAATGAGCGGTATCAGAGTCAAAAGTGAATCTACTCCTGTGGCATATATCCCAGAAACCATCGAGCAGCCAATTCGTCGGGGAATTCACGAACATCGTATGGGACTAGAATTTGAGTCATTCTCGTTCCGTCAGGCCTTTATTATAAATAACGTAACTCAAAATTTGTATGGATATTATTAAGGATTGACATGCCTGATCCAAACCTTCCAGGATGTGCGACGCACGGCTCAGAACGTGAAGGTCAAGGGGCGAAAAGCAAGACTCGTGTTCAAACGATGGAGTTTCAGTCGTTTGACCGCATTTCCATCCTGTAGGTTGAACATCGTGCGGATGCTTACACACTCCATGGAAAACTAGCCATTTGGCCCATTTCCCATCCTCTGATGAGCAATGCGCTTCAAGGACGCGCAAGTGCATTTGGAAATTCTATTTCTCTTACTTCTCACTATGGAGCCCAGTGGCTCAAGTCTCATCCTATGCGGGGCAACACAGAATGACTGCACCATTTGAATGACACACTTCAAAGCCTTTATTGTCGTTTGTTTCCCAAACATTGAATGATAAAAATTGATTGGGAAAAATATCAGACTCACAATGAAATACGTGTATAATGCAAGGATCAACCAGCGAATATAACATCCGCCCTTCTTGCAAGACAAGGATTTTATTGAACATAAGCGTTTACAGGATAAGGGTTGCACAAAAAAAAACAGGAAATCTCCCACTCATTTGACAAAGACACCTTTTGCCCAGAATCGAAGGATGAAGGGTGCCCGATCTTCATCCATTGGACGATCGGCTTCGTAAGATCCCGCCGCCATCTTCCTTCCCGACTTCAGCACTTTTCCAAAGGGCCTGGAGACGCTGCAAAAAAGTGAACTGAAGTTAGAACCTCAATAATTCATTCGCATAAAAATCAGGTTTGGATAGGTTTAGCATAGCTCAATTTCATATTTTCATATGTTTCATATTTTCATTTCATTTTCATTACCCTAATATGCAAATCACAAAAATTGACATTCTGGTAAATGAACAAAGGTTTATGAAATTGTAATACATCAAGCGTCGAAAAATGGTTCTCTTTAGAACAAAAGTTTAGAAGAAACTTTTCGCTTCTGGATTGGTACGACATTCAGTTTTTTTTAAACCCCATTTTGTAGAGCTAACATTCCCCTCTCCTGCGCTTACAGGAAGAAAAAAAAGATAAAAAGCTTAAATCTAAGTAACATATCTTGTTTTCAAAAGACTTGACCATCAGAATTCAAATTCCGGCTACGTTGATGGTTGATGGTCAGGTGCTCTTTGCTGGCTACATCCGACGTCTCCAAGCTTGTCGTCAATCATTCCTGCAGGATGAAGAGAATTCATTTAAGATCATAGCAAGGAGCTGCGTGAAATATCATTTATTGGTATTGTCCAAGTGAACAAACACCACTCAATATTTTGATTCGAGATAAAGCAATATTGAAATTAACATTCTGTTGAATGGTTGGGCTGGACTTGTGTTACATTAATAAAAAGCACGTACCTAGTTTTTTTTCCTGAAGTCTCTGGTTGACGTTGCATTATCTTGTCAGTCTCTTGATGAAGCCGCTTCCTCGTTTCGCTCCTCAGCAGCTGCTTCCTGTCTGTTAGAGTGAATCCCCATAAGAGGAGTGATTCTCGGGGAACGGTTGAAAGGCTTTCAACTCCAGTCATTGGTTCCAAGATTTCTCATAAGTCCCCTGGTACGAGGGGATGGTCACTTCTTTCTCTTCTATGGAGGTTATCTTTCCCATCCATGGCCGTGATGTTTTCTGCTCTGTATAAACGACGGCCAACATCCCCGGATGAAGGTCGTTGGTCCCAGCACTGCCAATACTAGTAGAGCCGATGATGGGCTGTAGAGTGCATACAGGAAATTAAGCGTGGAGTTCGGCTTTGCAAGAATGATCGACTATTTGAAAACGTTCAAGTGCAATGTGGATGCCTCTAACGTTAGGAAAAATATTTTCACCTGTTGCAATGGTCCGAGCATCTGACTTTTCACGTTCGCCAGGTAGGATTGCATGGTTGGAGTTATGCTGGCAGTGAATTCAGTTGAGGTGTTCTTGTAGTCTCTCAGCTTTTGAAGATACAATACTAGTTCCTGGGGATAGACCGATGCATATCTGGTAGTTTAATTCCATAAGCTACTTGCTAATAAAACATATTTGAGGCTGCATACAACCGCCATTACCATGGAATTCTGGGTGTTTGGAGAAAACACATGCCAAACGTGGACTTTGTCTTCAGACATTTCTGGGAAGTAATTTTGGATGGATGCCCTCACCACCTCTAGTTCAGCTGCATTCCAATCAGGAGGCACCAAAACATCGAATGCATTGAGTGCTGGAGTCGTCTGGGAGGTGGAAATGAGTCAAGAAGTGAAGAGGGGGAAAGGCATCCCACACGTTCCTAGTTAATAATTTCATGAGCAACTCCAAGCCTGAGAAAGGCTTCTTCAACTACACACCTGCAAAAGTGATATTTCATATTAGGAACCAATTGAAATTATAAAACTAAAATCAGTCCAATCCTATTTAATTTCACACAAATTTTATCATGTCAGGGATGGTTAATGACCTCAACTAGGGATATTAGTCAGCCATTGCACTATCCTTACCTGTAGACATACATATCCAAGGTCTGGGCCAAGGATCTCCCTGATGTATTGAATATCATGCTCATTGGGGCACCAGGCTTCTCCAGCAGGCATTCGAATGTGCATTTGTGTGATCCCTTTGGATTTCCTGAATCGGAATAAATGAGGCTTGGTCTGTCCACAAAAATGACGTGGAAAATGATCCTGGATGACAGTCTTGAAGTTGTGGACGGCATTTAATTCTTCAGCATGAAGATTTTCAGGCCTCCCTCTTCTTCTAATCTCTTGCAGACGTGTCATAAAATCTGTAATTGAACAGAAAGATGAATTTAATTTTTTATGCGGTATTCAGAATCAAGCCAAAGCGACAAACTAGGCATACAAAGAAAATTACCATTTACTGTGCAGGTGTCTCTAGCCCTCAGATAATGGTTCACTGAGCTGAAGGTTCACTGAGGTCATGAGTATGTTCAACTGGATGAAAGTTGAAGACCACCTTAAAAAAAAAATCAGTACATAGAATGTGGAGTGTCCCAAAAAGTCTCTTGGAAACAGGATTTCTAGCAATATAATTTCAAGGATCCCTAAGAGTGTCATTCACCTCTTCAAATATTCCTTTCTCTACGAGTAGATGAGCCAGCGCGCAGAGGTATTTGTTCTTGTTCTCCCTGGTACAATTGTCCATCTGCAGGAAGAGTTTGGGCTTCAAATACTCCTTCACATGAAGTAGAGTACGAAGAATGACCTCGAGTGTCAAATTGGAGTCGTGGGGGTATTGACCCATGTCAACGCATGCGAACTTGAGGATCCCCTTGCCTGTGTATACCATCACCCCTACAAAGGTTGGAATGATAGTGCATCTACAAAATGGCAATTTTCACACAAAACCAGTATCACTTCATTCAACTTATAGAATTGAACTATGTGTGTCAATATGTAATTTTAAGCGGCTGTCAGTTATATCAAGTGTTACCTTGAAAACATTACATTAAAAAATATATGGAAGAGTAGAATCACCTTCAATATGAGTGGTAAGCTTTGGCAAGCTATTCGTATGCTTGGGCGAACCGAGGAACATTTGTTTTCTTCTGGTCCATCCCATCTACCACCATTGCAACCCAATCACCATTCTCCAGAGCCAGAACCTTGTGATGTGTTTAGTTGGATCGCTGCAACCTGTTGACCACAGGCTATCAATACAAGCTCTCAAATACATAAGCAAAACAATATGGAACTAAATTTAAAGTCAAATACAGAAATATGAGCCAAATGAGTAGCTTTCCCGGATGTTGCTCAAAACGTACTACATTTGAAGATAGTAACAGCGATATCCTTCATTTTATGCCTCCCACCGAGAAACATTTCCACATAAAATTACCAGTTTTTTTTGCGTTGTGACGACATAGCAGTTTAATTTATTGGCAACGTCAATGTGTTAGGTCCATACACTCGTATTGAAATTAAACTAATTTTTTTTCAAAATAAAATTTTAAGAAATCGCCAATTTCTTGCATAAATGTAGAATAAATCAGCGAGGTAAATTATTCCTTTATAAATTGTTATTCTGCTGTTGCTATATTAATATCCTTTGAATTCCCGTTAATGCACAGTTAACACAAATGGGATGTGTTAACGTTTTGAAGTAGTTGATACAGTTACGTGCTGACCAAAGAATATAGTTATTGGTGACCAATTGAAACTGACCTATCATGACAGAATAAAACATCAAAATACGTATAGGATAACTCACTCAGCCATCTTCAAGCGCCTTTCACGAAGACCTTCCAGGTCTCTTTGGGCTTCCCCAGTCACAGTTCTCCATTGTTTCTTGATTTGGGTGCATGCGCCACAATTCAGGAAGGCGTCTGGTTGTAATAAGTCAGATGAAATATGACTGCGATAATATCTCCATCTCACTCTCTACTCAGTTAATTCAAATGTGATCAAAGCTAATTCGAATTCAAATACCTTTTTTTCAAGGAATGTCGTTATTCAATTACGTATGCCTGAATGGCAAGAGTCCCTCACCTTGGCGATTGAGATGTTCATGTCCTTCACGAGAGAAGTGAAGCAGACGTATTTGAGAAGGATCTCTTTCAGGCATCCCTTAGCAACGCAGCTTTCCTGCATGTGTCGATAAAGTTGCTTGATCGTGAATCCTTGGACGTGTATCTTCTTGGTTGGGCATGGTGAATGCTGTCCATGGAGTGTGAGGAAGTTCATCGGCCATGCTCGAGCAATTCCAACTTCGGCTTCCTCCGTGGCTGCTTTGGGAGGTGAGATTCCTGCCTCCTCTGTAGTTTTCTCCATTCATTTTGTGTTACACGAAATAAATTCAAGCAACAAAGTCTGCAGAGATTAACGCCCTTATACGAGAGAGTCTGGCGACTGCGAGAGGAGTGTCTATGGACCAACTCCGAAAAAAACTTATTTTTCTCCTTGTTGGACATGTCGTCAAGCTGCCTGTCCATGTCGTACTAATCCTCACTGGCCATTCTCCCCAAACAGCATCTCAATCGGTAGGTCCTCGTTCTGGGCTTTGGATTCTTCATCGGAGTCGAATGCGGTCTCTTTATTAGGGAGGTGCCGTCATCTGCAAATGATGCATACATTTGACCATATTTCTTGAAGTGTGAAGTCATGAGGACCTTTTCGCACTGGAAAAATGCGAATATTTCCAACAATGACAAATATTTGGAAATGAGAGGCAAGTTTAGTCACTCAGTGAAAATCTTTGCCTCAGAGCGGTTGGGAAGTTGAATTCCTCAAATAACGATGTGACTTCGCACAAATTTCAGATTTAAATTTCGTCATTGATGTGAAGTCATCACATACTCATCAATCTCAAAGTCAGCAGAATCATCCAATTTTATCCAATTTTCTCTCCTTGTCTCCATGTACTGCTTCCCTGGATAACAGGGGCCAAAAAATAAAAACTGGAAGGAAATATGTTACAATCGCACAATTTTTTTTCTATCTCAATGCCTCAATTTGAAAAAGAAAGATTCCATCCATGTCTCTCCGTGAAGCGTTGATAGTCTGTGCAACCAGTAATGGCTTGCATACGTCAACGTTATTTTTTTTACTAATGTTGTGTATGGTACCCAGTCAAGCACGAGTGAAGAGATGCCAAAAAAATATTGGATTTGACTTACATGTAAATGAAGGAAAAAATGCAGTCTCAAGTGGTGATACCGTTGTTCCTAGGCTCCCTCCGAAAACAGTTGCTTCCGGCGAAGGAGCACGAATCGCCGTGTCGGCAGTGTCATTCCAGTTTACATCCAGCTGTGTCGTCGTCGGTACTGTGTCTCCATTAGAAAATAAAGATTAAGAAGCCAGTATCAAAAGTTCAATCCATCAAAAAATAACATATTCCGTTATTGTTCACTGCACTGATTTACTAATTGCAATTGTAGCCAGCCTATTTTACAAAGCAAGTCCATGAAAATAGCAATAATAAAATAGAGAGCGCTGAACAAAATATATTGAGATGTCGTACCCATAGCATAATCTGATGACAAAGATCTCACTGGTGAAGGCATGGAGACAAATGTTGAGACTGATCCATTGTAGTTGTCCTAATTAAGTCGAAAGCTCTTGGAAATACCTGAAAAGCGGGATCGAAAGAAACCAAAATATCATTCCTTAGGCATTTTTCTTATCCCAAACCGAAATTATCTGCAGATATCACTCGCACACGTGACATACCTAAGACATCCTCGCGCACAGACTTCATTGAAGAAGGAATTGTCAAGATCGTCGATGACGTTCTGTTTAAGAAATCGCCACCCCCAAGGTTGTCTGCGAATTTCATGAATTTCATTTAAAGAGGCGAAGAAATAACAAAAAAGGCTTACAATTTTTCCCAATTGCTAAAGCCCTATTTCATATCTCAATGGACCTTTTTCAAAACTTAACGTACGGAAAAGGATAAGAAGGCCGATTCGACAAGCGCCAAGGATGGATGCATGGCTTCTGACTACAATCCATTGGCCTATACTCCAACAAGTCCCTTCCAACCGATCACAAAGATGTTCTCATCGTTTAGACTTGTCAGAGCTAAATGCTTCATCTCAAAACGTTGAAAAAATTTCTTTCTTCGATGCAGAAACGTAATTGACAAGCGATAATGTTGACTGCGATTCAGTAGTATCCTAAATACCTGATCTTGAGGATTTACTGACGATTAATTTCTGTTACTACCAGCTAAAAAGGGTCGAAAAGGGAATTGCAGCCCCGAGTTTAGCCTCGTTGGCTGCTTCAGGAGTACGTACGTCGTGCATGGGTGAAAATTGTTGCTTATTGCCTTGAGCTGATCACATCCGTCAGCCATTTTATGGTCATTTTTGTTTGCCACAGGTTACAAAAGTTGGATGACCTTGGGGCCCATTTTCGTTCATAGATATGAGTGTTAATTGCGAAAATCTCATGTTATGATCGCCAAAACTTTCCAGCTTAGACTCGCTCAATTGGCTCTTTGAGGGGTTTTCGACTGGATGCAACGCCCTGCACTCTTTTTGAATGCTGACGAGGGATGCATATTTTTTTTTGCAGCCTCCTAGGAACATACAACCGAGATTGGATCGTGTCTTATTGGTATAGGAAGTGATATCTGCCATTTTTTTTAATGCATACAAATGCGTGTTTTTACACTTTTTTCAACATGTGCATATTTACGTTAATATGTGCATATTTATGCATGTTTCGGTTATTTTCATTAAGAAAGTAAGTGTTTTCCAACAATATGTTTATTTATGAGCAATCTATGACAATTTTCAGGCGCTTATGCGCTGGCAGGAGTGATAAGTCCCCCGAAACTGTTCTAAATCCATCAGCTACCACCATCCCTCTTGAAGAGTTTCGAAAAATAGACTATTCCTTTCCATTAGCCCTCCATTGACGAATTCCTGAATTTCTCCGCTGTTTGTCACAAGAATGGATCACAGTAGAGCCATGAAATGTACTTTGAATTTCCTTCACCTGAAAAATTCGTACTGCGTTTAAAAAAGTATGATTTTGCATATTTTCCCATTTTCGTGCATATTTCATGCATATTTTCCAATTTTTAAGCGCATATGCATGTGCATATTTTAGGGCTTATTAGCTTATAAAAATCCGCTTCCTAATGACATAAGTCAAGAAGTGACTCCTCAAAGTAACAGTCTGACTTTTTTAGGGTTTGGAAAGGAAACGGGAAATATGTGAAAATGGACCCAACAGGCAGAAAGCATGATCGCAGAGGCATCTATTGTGGTGCAGAAATGTGCAATTNCCAATTGCTAACGTCCGTTTCTCAAAACTACACTTCCGTTTTCAAAACAATTTGAACAAATCCCTGAACTCTGCAATCTTTTCACAAAACTTAACATCCGATTTCATTGCTAACGTACGAAAAGCGAAACTCGAAGTGCGATTTTCATATCTTCACGGACTTTTTTCGAAACTTAACGTACGGAAAAGGATAAGAAGGCCGATTCGACGAGCGCCAAGGATGGATGCATGGCTGACGACTACAATCCATTGACCTATACTCCAACAAGTCCCTTCCGACCAATCACAAAGATTTTCTTATCGTTTAGAGTTGTCAGAGCTAAATGCGTCGTCTCAAACGTTGAAAGAATTTCTTACGTCAATGCAGAAATGTAATTGACAAGCGATAATGCTGACTGCGCTTTAGTAGTATCCTAAATACCTGATCTTGAGTATTTACTTACGATTAATTTCTGTTACTACCAGCTAAAAAGGGTTGAAAAGGGAATTGCAGCCCGGAGTTTAGCCTCGTTGGCTGCTTCAGGAGTACGTACGTCGTGCATGGGTGAAAATTGTTGCTTACTGCCTTGAGCTGATCACATCCGTTAGCCATTTTATGGTCATTTTTGTTTGCCATGGGTTACAAAAGTTGTATGACCTTGGGGCCCATTTTCATTCATAGATATGAGTGTTAATTGCGAAAATCTCATGTTATGATCGCCAAAACTTTCCAGCTTAGACTCGCTCAATTGGCTCTTTGAGGGGTTTTCGACTGGATGCAACGCCCTGCACTCTTTTTGAATGCTGACGAGGGATGCATATTTTTTTTTGCAGCCTCCTAGGAACATACAACCCAGATAGGATCGTGTCTTATTGGTATGGGAAGTGATTTCTGCCATTTTTTTTAATGCATACAAATGCGTGTTTTTACACTTTTTTCAACATGTGCATATTTACGTTAATATGTGCATATTTATGCATGTTTCGGTTATTTTCATTAAGAAAGTAAGTGTTTTCCAACAATATGTTTATTTATGAGCAATCTATGACAATTTTCAGGCGCTTATGCGCTGGCAGGAGTGATAAGTCCCCCGAAACTGTTCTAAATCCATCAGCTACCACCATCCCTCTTGAAGAGTTTCGAAAAATAGACTATTCCTTTCCATTAGCCCTCCATTGACGAATTCCTGAATTTCTCCGCTGTTTGTCACAAGAATGGATCACAGTAGAGCCATGAAATGTACTTTGAATTTCCTTCACCTGAAAAATTCGTACTGCGTTTAAAAAAGTATGATTTTGCATATTTTCCCATTTTCGTGCATATTTCATGCATATTTTCCAATTTTTAAGCGCATATGCATGTGCATATTTTAGGGCTCATTAGCTTATAAAAATCCGCTTCCTAATGACATAAGTCAAGAAGTGACTTCTGAAAATAACAGTCTGACTTTTTTAGGGTGTGGAAGGGAAATGGGAAATGTGGGAAAATTGACCCAACAGGCAGAAACCGTGATCGCAGAGGCATCTATTGAGGTGCAGAAATGTGCAATTCCCCGTCTAATGAAGGCGAGAGAGGAAGAATGGGAGGGGGGAATTTGTGTGCTTCCAAGCAGCATCTCCTCCAAATATCTCACATGAAATAATCTCTATGGGCTGTTGGATGGCTTTCATAGGATTAAGTCTGCATTGACTTTACCTGGTTAATCACTGTTGAAACACCCGGCAAATACATATCCACTCGAGAACCGAACCTATAATATTTTAGTTGTCCGAGTAGACGTTGAGGACAAGAGGTCCTCAGTGTATGATCTGCAAAACTGTAAAAAATAGTTCATGAACAAATTTCATAGAGAAACGACTTCAGTTTATTGGCACTGGCGCACCATCAGCCAGATATAGCGCCATTAATTATATTTAAAATTTTCATAGATCATACGTGCCATACGTCCTTCATCGAAAAAAACTTTCTGATAGAATACATTGCTGGTGTCCTTTAGAGCGAATTTAAGGCACTCGCGTCAAAACTTAACGTCCTTGCCTCAAAAAGTAACGTACGCCCCATTGTTTGACATTGGGGAGGTTCCGGTCGGTTTCGCTTTGTATGGCTGACCATGGACATCGATCCGCGAGACTCCTCGTTTTCCCATTGACAGCAATGGATCGTCCTTTGAGTTTTGCCGATGGTCCGTTAAGTTTTGACTCCAGGTACGTTAGAACTTGATCGTAGGACGTTCTGTTGTCCCTTTTGGAGAGCGGAAATTGAATCTTGACAGCAGTACGCACAGTTTTGACACGGGTACGTTAAGTTTTGAAAGTATTACACTATCGCCTTTCCGTATTCGGAGGAATTAATTTCCCGGTCTGCTTCTTGGCCGTCCATAGACGTTCCTAACCCCGTGCGTTAGAATATTGAAGAACGTACTTTGATTTTGACAAAGGGACGCCCTTTTGACTGCCGGACGCATAGATACGAGAAAAGAGCGCAGCGTTTTGCGGATCGTACGTTAAGTTATGAAAAATGTCCATTGAGATATGAAATAGGGCTTTAGCAATTGGGAAAAACTGTAAAGCTCCCTATATTTACGTTTCACTCTTGCAACCCGAAGGGATCCTCTCCGGGCGTCTATCGGAACAGAAACAGACGAAGACCTTGCTCAGACCCTTTTGGGCGTTTCACATCTGCACAGCGCGGCATTATTGCCGATCCTGACAAAGAAAGAAAAAGATAAAAGCGCTAGTCTCTAGTCTGTCCTTTCTTGCCTCTCGCCACACCTTCTGCCAATCCACTCCCATTGGGGAATATGGCACGGGCCCAAAAAGCCTTTTCGGTGACACGTTGGGGTTGCATTCGGCACGTCCGAGGTGGCTCGGTCAGCAATCATCTCCCTCCCATTATTTGTAGGAGACTCGAGGTGACTAGGGAGATTAATCAACTCTTTTCCTTCTGTTCCCTCCTCAATAAGCGAGCGAAGGCGGATGAGGTCCGGATTTCCTGATGAGAGCCATCTAGTGCAAGCTGAGTGAAGTACTCGATTGTGCAGGAATTCATTCTGCGTCCTGTTTCCCTGCCGCTTTCTACCTTCAGTTTCTTCATCAGTCGCGGCAGATCCCCGAGGACCACTATAACAGAAATATAGCAGTTTACAAAGTGATATCGCAGTTAGCCGCTTCGAAGGAAGCCGTACATTCGAAGGAAGACGAACTCGAGTGACTGATCAGCAGGGAGCAGGTTTTTATGCGAATGCAAATTTTTTCTGCAGTGTCCTAGGAGCATACAACCCAGAAAGGATCGTCTTTTCGGTAGAGGAAGAGATTTCTGCCATTTTTAAAACGTATAAAAATGCATATATTTTACCTTATTCTCAGCATGTGCATACTTACGTATATATGTGCACATTTATGCATATTTCACCCATTTTTCTTTAAAAAAAATAAGAGTTTGTCAGGAAAATGTTTCTTTTGGAGCAACTTATGAAAATTTTCCAACGGTTATGCGCTAGTTGGAACGGTGAAGCTCCCAAAACTCAGCTCTAAATCCATCTGCTACCACTATCCCCCTCGAGAAGTTTAGGAAATTCTAGCCCCCCTTCGTTTCCCTTAGCCCTCCATTGGCGAATTCCTGGCTTCACAGCTGGCTGTGAAAATAAATAGACCAACTATACCCAGTAGAGGCATGTAATGTACATTGAAGTTCCTGCTTCCAAAAAAGTATTGCATTAAAAAAAAACATGTTTTTACATATTTTCCAATATTAGTGCATATTTCATGCATATTTTGAAAATTTTAAGCCCATATTTATGTGACTTATTAACGCATAAAAATCCCCTCCCTACCGATCGCAGGGACTCCTCGTTGAAGCCATTTCCTTAATGAGATACGAGCATGATTTCCTTCGTAGAAAGCCTTCCGTCCATGTCCAGTTGAGTCTCAAAGTTGCCTCCTGCGCCAGTTCCATCTGAATGAGTCCTGTCATGGAATCGAACTGAAAAAAATTCAGGTTTCTTGGCAAAGGCGAGGGGTATCGCCAGGTGCGAAACGGGGAACGTTACCCTTCCTGAAATCATCTACTCGAGCCCTCGGTGATCGCCCGTCAGTAGCGATATTATCTCCGACGGAGGCAGGTTAGGTCCGTCTGACGAACCGCCACTACCCGCATGAAAACCGCGCTCTGCAGCTGACGAAGAGACGACTCCTGCTTTGCCAGCATCGAAAAGGGAAGTTCCTCATCCCGTACGGTATTTCCATCCACTACATGATGTAACCAGAGCATTTCCCGTGCCAGACCCTTGTCGGAGCAGCAGGACTCCTGCTGCTTCAAGCCCTTGTTGTGGGTAAGTGACTAATCTTTCGATCTGTAGTTGTACCGGTGACCTGATTTCTCAGACCGTCTCGTTTTGTATTTTCCTCAGGGTCATTTCAAGCATTCCCGTGTTCTCGAACGAATCATCTGACAGAATCATATTAAATCCTATTGGATTCTGACTCGTTCATGAGTGTATTCTTCGTGGAGAAAGAATCAAGTGTCATATAAGCTGAAAGGACGTTGCATGTTTCGGGGAAAGGAGTTCCCCAATCATAACGGGGGAGCTCCTGGTCCAACGTGAACCCCCTCCAGGCAACGGAACCCCAACAGTGAGGCAAATGAGAAGGCAAGGGATTTTGAAAGGCGGCAACTTCGGTTCATTCATTATTGCATCGAATGAATAAAAAAAAAACTCTTTCCACGCAGAAAAATACTCAGGCGGTAACAATAAAATTAATGCCAGTGAGGTCAGCTTGGGTCTCCTACGCCTCCCTGGGCATTCCTGGAAACGCCAGAGAAAAATAAATTTCAATAATAAAAAAATTCAAGAACTCAAGACAGAGAATTCGTTTGGGAGTATCTTTACCCACTCGTCTACTTGCTCTCGTTACTGTCGTCACCGCCGCCGGAGCCGTCATTGATGACGATGACATGGTCCCTATCACCGCCGCCGCCGCCGCCACCATTGTATCCTCCTCCAATGGGAACCGGGTATGGGACGTTCAATGGCATCGGCCGATAGATGGGGAATGGCTTGGAGATGGGCACGAAGATGGGCTTCGTGTAGTAGATGGGCACGATTCGTCTCACGACCTTCTTGTTCTGCATCGCCCCTTTCACTCGCTTGAACCTTGGGTTGAGGCGGATCCTTGCGAAGCCGCCTCCACTGGAGCTGGAGGAGCCGCAGCCACCTCCGCATCCACCTCCGCTACTGCTCGACACACCTCTGTTTCTGGCTGGGTCTGGGTCTGCAGCTGGATCTGCAGTTGGCTTTGCCCAGGCGTGTACTACCAGTACGACCACCACCTGCGTCATCAAAGCCGCTTATGCACATTCAATGTCCTGATGGTACTTCAAGCATGAGCATAAAGGGGATTGGCACACGTTGTAAAGTAACTGTACGCTTCACGATGTATCGATTAACGACTGACAGATAAATACCTGAAAATACGTGAGGAATTAATTGGAGGAATATCGACTCACAAGAAGGGAGAAGAGTGTAAACTTCATGATGCAGTTGAAGACGAAACTACTCCTTCACTGCAGGACTGTGAGGTTGAAGTGATGATTAAGGAAGTCTCATCCGGCCCATTTATAGGGGCTTCAAGCCGACCGGTTCGCTGAGAAAGGAGTCTGGTTATGTCACGGTACCACTTTTCCTCTCGAATTACGGATCCTCTTTAGGCAAGTGAAGACGGGATAGAGAAAGTGCGGCGGAGTTCTCCCTTCCTCTTTTCTTTCCACTCTTCATTGTCCTCTGGGCACTTCAAGTTTATAATTCTGGTTTCGGGAATTATTGAAAAGCTGCAGGCTTTTCAATAATTAACTTTTCACTCTTGCGTAGACTTCACCTTCTACGATTTGAAGCTCTGCTTTAGGAAACGACATTCTGTGGTGATTGTATTATCTCTTAATGTATCGGTTATCTTGTTAAATATTATTTCTCTTCCACCCACAATATAGTCTTTGACAGAGGCACAACATTTCTCCCCTTACGACTGCATCAATAAGAAAAGTAAAGAGGCATTTCTTCTCTTTCTTTTTTTGCTCCTCATCAGGCACTCCGGACAATCCTTAGCCCCGGGATTTGTCTGAAAGGTTCGTGCTTTGAGGTCTAGTTGGTCACCCTGACAGTCGAGACCAGAGACACATGACTGCACCCCCCAACCCACAAGGCCGTGGGCTGGTTCTGATTTCTTCCCGAAATTGCATTATTTCGTCAGCTACAAAAACTGCTTCGCATTTCAGGCAAAGGACCCTACCAGCCGGAGAGGGCACAGTTGGCAACCCCAGAATATCTCACTTTGCAAGTCCCATAACACTTTCCCTATCGTAGAATCATCTCACAATTCAGGTTGCAAGGAGATGGACTTGGATCTATTTGCCCCCTCCATACAAGGGCGGCTCCTAGCAAATATCATCCCGGAAATGGGACACCTGCGGTATGGTAAAATGAGAATGCAAAGCGTATGGAGTAGCGACAATGTCGGTTCATTCAGGATGACCAAATTGGCAAAACAAAAAAAACCTTTTCACGAGGAAAAAATACTCGGGCGGTAACAATAAAATTAATGTAAGTGAGGTTCACTTGCATTGGGTCACCTTGGGTCACTCCTTGGGCTACCTGGAAACACAAGAAAATAAGAATTTACTTCAAAGTAAAGCGAGAATTCAAGACGGGATTTTATTCCCAAGGATCTATTCCCACCTGCTTATTTACTCTCGTTACTGTCGCCGCCGCCGCCGGAGCCGTCATTGATGACGATGACACTGTCCCTCTCACCGCCACCGCCGCCGCCACTGTATCCTCCCCCAACGGGAACAGGGTATGGGACGTTCAATGGCATCGGCCGATAGATGGGGAATGGCTTGGAGATGGGCACGAAGATGGGCCTCGTGTAGTAGATGGGCACGATCCGTTTCACGACCTTCTTGTTCTGCATCGCTCCTTTAACCCGCCTAAATCTTGGATTGAGGCGGATCCTCGCGAAGCCTCCACTGGAGCTGGAGGAGCCGCAACTATGGCCGCATCCACCTCCGCTACTGCTCGACACACCTCTATTTCTGCCTGGGTCTGGGTCTGGGTCTGCGTCTGGCTCAGCCCATGCGTGTGTCGCCAACACACCTAACACCTGTGTATTGCAACAGCCAATATTAAACGTCCTGGAGATACTTTACGAACGAGCATAATGAAAGACTTACGCAGATCGTATACTAACTGTGCTTAATACATCAAAGTAAAATTAATTTAACCATTAAATGAACATATGAAAAATCTGAACGGAAGGAAGATGGACTCACGACGAGGGAGAGGAGAGCGAACTTCATGATGAAGGTCCAGGTAGAAACACTTGTTGCCTTGAGGACTGCGAGATGAGAAGTGTGCATGATGGGTGTCTAATCCCAGCATTTATAGTCTCAAAGCTAACCTGTCACTCGAGGAAAGGACAAGATTGGGTCGAAATTTCTACATCTAATTATGAAAACACATTGATGAGAAAGAGAAAGTAATTTTCAGTTTTTCCTCCTTTTCTTCTTCAGCAGCGTCAGGGATTCACGTTTTTCCTCCTTTTCCTCATAATCATCGTCTGGATTACGTATTTCAAGATTCTTATCTCAGGGAGGATTGGCATTCCGGAAACTGAAGCAAGTTCGCTAGCCATCTTGTCAAGAAGGAGTGCAGAATTCAGGTTTGAAAATCTTGTAATCCTGGCAGTCAAGTCCAAGGAAACACAAACTTCCTTTCTCTATACTGCCGTGATGGATGTAGTGTAGCATTCCCTTTAATGTCTCTCCTGGTGCCGTTACTGGAGCGTTCACTCGGGATACTCTCGATCTTACCTTTCTGCAGCAAACCCTTTCGCTTAATCCAACTGTGTTCTGATGGTATCTTCTTTGGTAAGAGTTTTTCTTAATGGCGAATTAAGATAAGGCTTATATTTTCCACGAATGTGGCACGTTCCTGGGAAGATTTCATACAATGAGGACTGGCTTGGATTCTAGGGAATATATTGTTTCCCAAATTACATTAATGTAATTGGGGAAACAATGTATTCTATATAGAATAGGAGAGAAAGAATTATTCTTCTCCTATTCTTCAATTTCATCTCAATACCGATCTAATGGAAAGTTATTTCCGTCAAGCTGTCTGATGGGGAAATTTAATCTAGTCACTGGAGTGAAATTCCATCTGTGAGGGGCACGAGAAGGCAGATTTGCAGATATTAACGTCATTTCATTCATCAGTATCAGATATCCCAAGCAAACAAAAAATATTTTTCACGGAGAAAAAAAATACACGGGCTGTAACAATAAAATGAATGCCAGTGAGGGACACTTGCATTGGGTCGCACACCTCTTGGGCTATCTGGAAAGTACAAGTAAGAATAGATTTCTTTGTAAAAAAAAAATTGAGAATCCAGGACAGAGGTTTATCTATGTAGGCTCCTTACCTCCCTGTCTATTTGCTCTCATTACTGTCGCCACCGCCGCCGGAGCCGTCATTGATGACGATGACACTGTCCCTCGCACCGCCGCCACCGCCGCCACCTCCTCCTCCAACGGGGACGGGGTATGGGACGTTCAATGGCATCGGCCGATAGATGGGGAATGGCTTGGAGATGGGCACGAAGATGGGCCTCGTGTAGTAGATGGGCACGATCCGTTTCACGACCTTCTTGTTCTGCATCGCTCCTCTAATCCGCCTGAACCTCGGGCGGAGGCGAATCCTCGCGAAGCCTCCACCGGAGCTAGAGGAGCCGCAGCTATGGCCGCAACCACCTCCGCTACTGCTTGACGAACCTCTGAATCGTTGTGGGTCTGCGCCTGGGTTTGGAGCTGGCTTCGCCCATGTGTGGGTCGCCAACACACTTAACACCTGTGCATTGCAACCGTCATTATTAAACTGTCATGAGAAAGGCCGGGAGGGTAGATTGGATGGAGGAGAGGATGAAAGAAAGCCAGGGGACGGGGGGGGAATTGAATCCCTCCTGATTGCCGGTCAGGTGTGCTTCCATTACACCACCAAACCCGGGACATTCATTCTTGCCTCTCACTGACATCCTTATCTGACTCACATCCTTGTCATTACAAAATGTCTTGGAGATAATTTGCGAATGAGCATAATGAAAGACTTACGCAGATCGTATACTAACTGTGCTTGATACATCAAAGTATAGTTAATTTAATCATTCAATGAATGCATGCAAGATCAACAAAGATGGACTCACGACGAGGGAGAGGAGAGCGAACTTCATGATGAAGGTGCAGTTAGAACCACTAGTTGCCTTGAGGACTGCGAGATGAGAAGTGTGCATGATGGGTGTCTAATCCCAGCATTTATAGTCTCAAAGCTAACCTGTCACTCGAGGAAACGACAAGATTGGGTCACAGTTTTTTTTTTAATCTAATAATGGAAACCCTTTGATAATAGAGAGAAAGTAATTTTCAGTTTTTCCTCTTCAGCATCGTCAGGGATTCACGTTTTCCCTCCTTTCCTCCTCCTCATCGTCCGGATTACGCATTTCAAGATTCTTATATCAGGAAAGATTTGACTTCCGGAAACTGACGCAAGTTCGCTAGCCATCTTGTCAAGAAGGAGTGCAGAATTCCAGTTTGAAAATCTTGCATCCCAGCATTTATAGTCTCAAAACTAACCTGTCACTTGCGGAAAGGACAAGACTTTGTCGAGATTTCTTAATGCAATTATGAAAACTCTTTTACAAGAGAGAGAAAGTCCTTTTTTGTTTTTCCTCCTTTTCCTCTTCAGCATCGTCAGGGATTCGCGTTTTTCCTCCTTTTTCTCCTACTCATCGTCTGGATAACGTATATCAAGATTCATATATTAGGAAAGATTCGACTTCCGGAAATTGTCACAAGTTCGCGAGCCATCTTGACTTGAAGCTCTGATTACGGCGAAAGGCACTCTTTATGTGAAGGGCAGAAAGGCAAAGTGATCAATTCCAAAAAAAAAACTCATTTTTATGAAAGTAACAAGATTCAATGAGGACTAAACCAACTATCCTTTCTTGGGAAATTTTTTGCAGATTGACCACTTTACCTTTAACCCCTTTATATATTTTGATAGCAAGTTGGTTTAGTGATTTAATGTGTTGGTAATTACGCCCCCAGGGAAGAATATTCCGTAAAGAACCTTAATATGAAAGGGCGAAGCCGCCATTCCGATAATTTTTTAATTTCCAACCGTGCCCCTAGAGTAATCCTTTCCCCGTTAATGTCATGGAGTGGTGCAGAATTCAAGCTTGAAAATCTGGCAATCCTCGCTGTCAAGGCCACGGAAGCACGAACTTCCTTTCTCTATACGGCCGCGACGACTGCAGCGAGTCATTCCCTTTAATATCTCTCCTTGCGCCGATACTGGAGCGTTCACTCGGGGTGCTCTCGATCTTACCTTTCTGCAGCAAACCCTTTGGCTTTATCCAACTGCGTTCTGTTGGTATCTTCTTGGGTGAGAGTTTTTCTTAACGGCGATTTAAGATCAGGCTAATAATTCCTACGAATGTGGCACGTTCCTGGGAAGATTTCATACAATGAGGACTGGCTTGGATGCTAGGGAATATATTGTTTCCCAAATTGCATTAATGTAATTGGGGAAACAATGTATTCTATATACAGGGTGGTCCAAAAGTCTCCATACATAGGGAAAATTAACACTTTTTAACAAAATGTAACTTTATTCACCAAATATGCTCTACTTGGTTCCCATTACTTTGAAAACACATACGGATGCGACTCTCCCATTCATGGTGAACTCGCGTTAATACATCTGGTGTTATGCGTTATGTTAAAGTTACTTTTTTTTTTAAGTGTTAATTTTCCCTATGTATGGAGACTTTTGGACCACCCTGTAGAACAGGAGGAAGAATTCTTTCTCTCTTATTCTTGAATTATATTGCAGTTCCGGTCTATTGGAAAGTTATTTCCGTCAAGCTGTCTGATGGGGAAATTTAATCTAGCCACTGGAGAGAATTCCAGCTGTGAGGGGCACGAGAAGGCAGATTTGCAGATATTAACGTCGTTTCATTCATCAGTATCAGACATATCAAGCAAACAAAAAATATTTTTCACGGAGAAAAAAAATACACGGGCTGTAACAATAAAATGAATGCCAGTGAGGGACACTTGCATTGGGTCGCGCACCTCCCTGGGCTATCTGGAAAGTACAAGTAAGAATAGATTTCTTTGTAAAAAAAAAATTGAGAATCCAGGACAGAGATTTATCTATGAAGGCTCCTTACCTCCCTGTCTATTTGCTCTCGTTTCTGTCGCCACCGCCGCCGGAGCCGTCATTGATGACGATGACACTGTCCCTCGCACCGCCGCCACCGCCGCCACCGTCGCCATCTCCTCTTCCAACGGGGACGGGGTATAGTATAACATATATAGCTATTGGAAAATACAGTCTCGTTATTTTATTGTTAGACCTCGTATGTAGTCTAAAACAAATTGTAAAGGTTTTTTTAACACCCCTA